GTCGCCTCCAAGGAAAAGGACAATGCCCCGGAGGAAGTACTGAACAAATAGCAACTATAGTCCAGACGGCTGGGTGTTGATGAGCCACAAATTGACCCAGTCGATCACTCCGTAGAGGATTTGTAGAAGGTGCTCCTGATGGAGGGGGATGAGGAGAGATACTTCTTAAGGAAGAACGTGGATGTCGAGTAGGAGGAGATGACCAACTTCTTAAGGAAGAACGTGGATGTCTTTGCATGGGACGCCGTAGAGATCAAAGGAATAAGTCCCGATGTTATAACTCACAGGCTCCATGTTGATCCTAGTCATTAGCCCATAAAGAAAAAACCTCGGCGTACAGTGCCGCATCATGCCCAGGTGGTAAACGAAGATGTGGAGAGGCTCCTGGAAGCCAACGCCATCTAGGAGGTATAATTTTTAGACTGGTTGTCGAACACTGTCTGTGCAAAAAAAAAGAGTGGGAAGTGGCATGTCTGCATAGACTTCACGGACTAGAACAAGGCTTACCCCCAAAGATGATTTTCCCCTCCCTAAGGTTGATCAATTGGTCGACACCATGGCGGGACACGAACATATGAGCTTTATGGACGCTATAGCCAATTACCATCAGATCCCTCTCTATCTGCCTAACCAAGAGAAGACCATCTTTATTCATCCAAAGGGTGTTTATTGTTATAAGGTCATGTCGTTCGGTCTGAAGAACACAAGTGCTACATATCAAAGGCTCATGAACCGGATGTTCAAGTGGTAAATTAAGAACACTATGGAGGTGCACATTGATGACATGGTGGTCAAGAGCAGGAGATGAGATGACCACATTGTGGACTTGGAGGATGTCTTCTCCACTCTCTGGGAATATGGGTTGAAACTAAATACGACTAAGTGTGCCTTCGGAGTTGGCTCTGAAAAGTTCTTGGGGTACTTAGTAAGCTGGCGGGGAATCAAGGTCAACCTGGAGAAAATACAGGCTATCATGGACGTACGTAGCCGCTAGACTATCTGAGACATGGTTTAAAGTCGTGATATCGGTGATTGACTCGAAGGGCACTGAGATACATCGGTCGCTGTGTCGTAGCGTGATATCGACCGATAAGCTCAAAATGTTACATAGAAGACCCAAAAAAATTATGAAAATTTTTTTAAAATATGTAATTATCATCATTCATGCATTATATCCCAAAAATACATTGTTTAACATATTAAACATAATAAAAATGAATTATAAGTACGCTACCGAAAAAATTTACCATCATTTAGGTTGAATGTTTTTATTTAAAAACACACTAAACTTTTAACATATGTTATTAGAATTTTTTTTTAACTTAATAGTACCTAATTTTTAAAAAAATAAAAATAAAAATAAGAACAACAAATAACTATCCATCAATTATAAATTTGACAAGTAAGAATAGATCTCAATACTTTGCATGAATAATTTTGTGTTCAATTAATAGATTAATGAGTCATTGTTCTAATTTAATTTAATTTTTTCTTCTAATTATTTTTCTCAATAATTTACTAATTGAATTAGAGATTTTTCATACATAAGGAGTAAGGGGTCAATAAAATATAAACACACGTGTAAAGAGAAAAAACAAAGGAAGGGTGTGGCCCACAAAATATAAAACACTATGGTATGTGTCTTCTTCTTGCCTCTCGATCACGAGAGAGAGAGAGAGAAGAGAGAGAGAGAGAGAGAGGTAGACAGATAGAGAGAGAGCGCAATTGAGAAGCGAACAGTGAAGGAAAGAGCGAGAGAAGAAGAAGAAGAGTTTCTGCTATGGGTATCCACCGAAAGAAGCGAACAGAAAGGAATGATTGAAGTTTTTTTGATCTGTAAACTTAGGGTTTTTGCTATAGGTCTCCACCGAAAGAAGAAGAAGAGGTCTTCTGCTCAAGTTGACTCTTCAATTTTCTAGGTATTTTTACACCTTATCTCCTCCTTTTTTTTTTTTGGAATTTCCTCAATATTGGTGATCTATTCTATGCGAATCAGCCAAGTTGGAGTCGACTCACTGTGAGTCTCACCCAATTTCTTCTTCCTTTCTCTATTTTTTTTTTTGGATTTTTGTTGCCTAGATTTTCCAAAGTTGATTGCACCATAGCAGTCTAACTCGGTTCGACTCAGTTGAGTCTAACCACTTTAACTCCGAGTTAGGCCGATACCATCGAGTTGTAACCGAGTTAGGACTGATTCAGTTGAATCTCGTTATATTGATGTAATGTGTATCGCTATTGGATTGGCAACTGTTGAGACGGATACGACTCGGCCGAGTTGACTCAGACTCGACTGATACTTTGAACCATGGTTTGAGATGTCCAGAAATTCACAGGAATGTTAGCCGCCTTGAATCATTTTATATCTCAGTTGTTGGACAAGTGCAAGACTTTCTTTGGGGCAACCAAGAGGTTCGGGTAGGATACTTGGAATGAAGAATGCGAGGAGGTGCTCTGAGGGATCAAAGAATACCTCAGGGTCCTCCCGACCTTGTTTGTCCCAAAAAGGGGGGAGATGTTGTTCCTATACTTGCCCATTTCCGAATTCGCCATGAACGACGTATTGATCCATGAGCACGAGCATGAACAGAAGCAAGTGTATTATGTAAGCAAAGTTCTGTTGGATGCGGAGACAAGGTACTTGCCTTTGGAAAAGCTTGCCTTGGTGCTAGTCACAGTCGCAAGGAAGTTAAGGCATTACTTTCAAGTGCACCTTATTACCGTCCTAATGGATCAACCTTTGAAGGCGATCCTAAGGGAGACAGACCTCTCCGGGAGGAAAGCAGAATGGGTCGTGGAGTTAGGAGAACATGATATTCACTACAGACCTCGCACGACAATAAAGGCTCATGTGCTAGCGAATTTCATAGTTGAATTCACCAAGGGGGGCTCCCCCCGAGGTGGAACCCTCCACGATTAACCAAGTGCACTCCTAGAGACTCTACGTGGACAGATCCTCTAGCAACAAGGGTTCCAAAATTGGGGTACTATTATTTGTCCCGGAGGGATTGGTCACGGAGCAAGTTATACGGCTAGGCTTCAAGGCATCCAACAATGAGGCGGAGTATGAAGCCCTTATCTCTGGACTCAAACTTGCCGACGCAGTTGGGGTTGTGGAGCTAATAGTCTGTTGTGATTCCTTACTGGTGGTCAACCAGATCAATGGAGAATTCGAAGCAAGGGATCTAAGAATGAAAGTCTATCAACATAAGGCCATGACCCTGCTCCACAAGTTCAAGAAGGTGGAAGTCAAGCAAGTCCTTTGAGATAAGAACGCCCACGTCGACACCTTGGCAAGCCTGGCCTCGGCGTTGGACTCTGACATGACATAGAGAATAATTATGGATTTTCTTTCCAACTCTAGCATAGACGATGTCCTTGGAGTGACATCCATCCTTGAAAGGGAGGAGTCCCCCAGCTAAAGGCCTCGAGGTTTTGGGCCTCCCCAAATCAAGAGTTGTACCAAAAATCGTTCTCTGAACCCTACTTTCTTTGTGTACGTGAGAATAAAATTCAGCCCTCCTGTATGAAGTGCACAAAGACATATGTAAAGGGCAGTCGAGTGGACGATCAATGGCCCGTCACATTATGTCGAAAGGATATTGGTGGTCGCAGATGCATAAGCTTATGTCTGAAAATGTAATCAATGTCAAAGGTTCACTCCCACCATCAGGCAGCCAGTAGGAGACTTGCACCCACTAACCAGTCCTTGGTCGTTTGCCCAATAGGACTCGACCTAGTTGGACCCCTCCCTAGAGCCCCTAGAGACAAGAAATTCCTGATAGTTTGGACCAATTACTTTATAAAGTGGGTCGAGGCAGAGCCACTGACTCATATCAGGGACACAGACACCAAAAGATCTTTATGGAGGAACATTGTGATAAGGTTTGGGATCCCCTGTGCACTTGTATCAGATAACGGAACTCAGTTTAATAGCGAACCCTTCAAATCTTTTTGTGAGCACCTCAGAATTCAGAATTATTACTCCACACCCTCGTATCACTAGGCCAAAGAATAGGCGAAATCTTCAAACAAAAGCATCGTTAGCAGAATTAAGAAGTTAGAGAAAGTTAAGGGAAAATGGGTGGATGAGCTCCTGAACGTCCTTTTGGCTTACAGGACAACTTCGTGGACCTCAACGGGCAAAACACCTTACACCTTGCATATGGAGTAGAGGCAGTTATCCCACTAGAGGTGGGTCTCCCTACTATAAGAACGCAAGCTTTTGACACTTGAGAGAATGACCACCAAGTCGGCCTGGACTTGGACCTCACAGAGGAGAAAAGGGAGATAGCTACTTTGCAGTTGGCAAAATACCAAGAAGGGATCTCCAAACTCTACAATAAGAAAGTAAAACCCCAAAGATTCTAGGTAGGCAACCAAGTTCTAAGGAGAATAGTCGAGAACACTCGTGACCTGATCGATGGAAAGATGGGGCCTAATTGGGAGGGACCATACAAAGTCACATCAACGGGAGGCTCCAGGTCATACAAGTTAGAGGATATGAAAGGAAATATTGTACTTCAGTATTGGAATGTAATGAATTTAAAAAAAGTACTATTTTTGAGAAACAAAGGCTTATTTTTGCTAAGTGTGTTGTCGTAGAAGGGGCATGGCCCCGAAGGTAGAGTCTAAGACTCTTGCCTCCAAAGAAACAAAGGAACAAAGCCTCCTGGATAAGGCACAGTCCTGAGGGTGAGGCCATAGAAAAAGACTCACCCCAAAAAGACCCAAGGGGGAAAGCCTCTATGATAGGGCATGTCCCTAGAGGGGGAACACTTGAAATTTTCCCATAAAAGAAGTTGAAGCTAAGGAGGAGGAGGATCCTGACTTCGGGTCTTGTAACCTCGGTCGCGATGGATTACACTTAGAAAAAGAACAAGATGCAAGCATTTAGAAAAAGAAAGCATTTTTTCATTGCAAAAGAGGAGGGTTTTGCATACCTCAAGCTACAAAAACAAAATAAAAATTGAAATTACAAGGAAAGAAAACCAAAAGCTAATCTAAGAAGGCCCAGTGACCTCGTCCCGATGCCGCCTCCAATGTCTCCAAAAAAGTTCATCGTTGCTTGCAGAGAAGGAGTCGACACTGCGAGAAGGAGGCATTGTGTCTACAGGAACAGTAGAAATGTCACCCTAAGGGGCAAGCACAATGCCAATAGAAAAAGGAGTTGGAGCAGCAACGAAAGGAGCTGGAGTAGCATCGGCAGGAGTAGGAGAACGTCGACAGAAGGAGGAGTAGGATTGCCCTGAGGCGTAGAAGGAGCCACGGTCTCAACTGTTGGAATCGAGATTGGAACTTGGGGAATCCTAGCATCTTCAGTCATGACTTCAGATATAGCTTGTACCATCTCTTTAAAAGGAGTGTACTCATGCTCCTTGAAGAGTGGAGACTCGGCGAGGACTCCGGCAACCCGAAGTGCCTCATCCCACCCGACCTTGAAGCTCTCCCTCTTATTTTCTTCAAAGGCCACCAGTATATCATCGGCACATTGGTTGAAAAATCTCCTGCTTCATCTTCTTGTTTGCCTCCAATTCAGTCCTTAACTTGTCCAACTCCTGGGTGAGGGCGTCACAAATTTGCTCCGACTCTACCACCTTCGCCTCGGCTGCTTTATCACCTAGGTGATCCTATTCTCGGTGTTGATGAGAGAGGCCTTAGCTTTGTCACCTTCGCCCTTGGAAGCCTAACTCTCTTTGAAGAGCTTGGCAATCTGGGCTCCCTGAGTGGACAGAGTCTTGTCCCGTGCAACCACCTCCTCCTTAGTCGAGGCCAGGGCTCCTTGGGCCTTCTCCAGTTCAGCTTGAAGCCTCTCGCACTCCTAGATTTTGTCTTGATGAGCATGGAAATGCTCAGCAATGACTGATATTTGTTGTGTAGTTTGTTAAACAAAAGAAGGGATCACGCCGATGGAAGACTCAAGCAAAAAAAACGAAAGAAAAATTCACAAGTATGAGAGCCCTACCAATAGCGAATTCTGAATCATGGAGTGGAACAGGTTATTGCTACCATGACCTCTGTGGACCGACATATCAACATCAAAGAGGATGGCCTTACTCACGACATAGGCGGTGTGGGGAGAGGCAATGATCGAGTCACTCACTCGAATCGACCTGTTGTCACTATCTCGAGCCCTACTGCGCCACTCCAAGACATTGGGTGTCGACATTGGTTTTGGCGTCAGTGTCGACGTTTGGCATTGGAGTCGGTGTTAGCATTAGTGTTGGAGTCGGTGTCAGAGTAGAAGTGCCTTTGCCTCAGCCACTGTCGTACCTTTGTTTCACTCTCCTCTCCTTCTGTTGAGGATCACTTCCATGCCCTTGGCCGTGCCCAGTTGCTGTTGGCACAACCGGGGCGTCGAATGGAGGAGGCGAGGGGAGGGGTGTGGACCCCTCAATTGGAAGCTTGAAAGGGCGAGTATGCCCTAGATTGGGAGTAACATAGGAGCCTGATCCTCGACCCCCTCTAGTGGCGAGAACAACTCTCTCCTTGATTAGACTCGGAGAAAGGCGAGGTGGGTTGGACATCGTTTACTCCAAAGCGTCACATTGAAGATGGGCCAAGCCTCCCTGCCTGAAGCCTCAGCGTGGATGGTGGTGGATGGATCCCTTATCTCTTCAACCTCGGCAACTGTGCCTTTCGCCGCCTCTACCTCAACTTCAGTAGCTATTTTGGGGTCCTCCTCCAAGTTCTCCTCGAGTAGCGCTGACCACCTTAATGGTTCAAAAAGTTGAGGAGTTTCGGAGAAATTCCAGTATCTTGGAGTGTAATCGAGAAGGAGGTGGGCAACCTGGTCGAGACCGTTGTTCTCTAAGTAGCTCTAGACAAAGTTGATGTCGTCAAGGTTGATTTGATTGCGTGGGGAAGCAGCAGAGTCGGCGTTGGAGACCCCTAATCAAAAGAAACATTATTATTGATTATCAATGACAAAGGCAAGAACAGAAGCGCCGAAGAATTGAAAAGCAGAAAAGAGAGATAAGAGTTGATGTACTTGTAGTCTACACTTGGGGCACCACAAGTCGGTGTACTCGTGGCCGACTCCCCTTTTCCATTGATAGCTAAAGATGAGTAGATCATCTTTGTACCCCTTGTCAAAGTTTGGAAGATGGGTCACAAGGTACATCGTAGGGTCCCAAGCTTTGAGATAGAACATTTGTTGAGGCGTCACCCTCACCAAAGCATAGCATAAGAGGATATCATCCAGGCCGAGGTTTAGTTGTAGTTGCTCATTCAAGGCGAGCACCCCCATGATGATCCGAAAGGCATTTAGACAACATTGCCTCAGAAAGAGCCAAAATCGGGACATGAAATGAAGAATGAGGGGATAAAGAGGAAACCTAATGCCTCCTTCTATGATAGCTTTGGTATAAAAAAGCATGGCCTCCTTAGTGCCGACAATGGCACTGTGGCAACCAATAATAAAGCCATCTGCAGTTACTTTGGGAGGAAAAGAGTAGTGGGTCTTAAAATTGATAATTTGTTATCGACCCTTAACAATGTGTTTACTCGGCCTCATTGGCCTTTATGTTTTCACTCCGACAACATCTCGACATGGTTTAAAAATAAAAAAAGAATGCGAAAAGGGTGCTTCTTGGAGATGGGAGACCTAAAGATCACTACTGAGGACACACGGAAGGAAAAAGAAGACTGAAGGATGATGTGATACTACTAGAACTGAAATGGGGAAGATTAGAGGGAGTATGGCCACCAAAAAAGAGAAGAAAATAGGGAAAATAGTTACTCACCAACGAGCACGATGTTGACACAGGGGAGAGGATGATAGTTCCTTTCGCCAGTGGATTCTAAGGAATTTACAGTGTTCAATTAAATAGTGTTCTCTCCGATGGATCTCCAGTGAAAAGCTCTTCAAGTTGCAAGATTAATGAAAGTGGAGAAGGAGGGCAAGCGCTCTATTTAAATAGAGCCAGGGGCTATGATTGCACACGATAGGCGAAGAGGGGCGCATTAAATGGGGCATGAACCCCAAGGAAGGGAAAACGGCAGAAGCTAAGGGCAAGAGTCAAGCCTTTTCATCTTCTCATGCCACGTTGCCCCGTCATATGAAGATCAAGGGCTGGGGGACAGTTGATGGGACTCTCCTGAGAATCAACAAGGAGCCGACACGTGTCCTCGTCATGAGAAATATGGGTGCTCCCTCGAGTGACACTTGTCCTTGACATAAGTTTCCCTCGACTCTGTCAATAAATGACATATGTCCTCGGCACTAAAGGTCCCTCGGAGCCCTGTGAGTGACACGTGTCCCCAACACTAAAGGCACCTCGGATCTTCATCACGTGACACCTACCCTCGGCTCCCAAAGTTCCCTGAGGAGATCTCCACCTGACAGGTTTCTTCGGCATGCCTAACGCCCCCGAGATCCATTTCTAGACACGTCACCTCGGCTCTAGAACCCTGAGATATGGATGACAGATTGACGGTTATCGTTACTTGGAGCCAAAGTTGGTCAATAATCATTGACTCGCCTTCCCAAAGCAATTAAAATGGCAGAAAGAGTAGGTCAATAACCAATGATAATGATACACGAGTTCTAGAGCACAAAATTAAAGGCCAATGGACAAAGATGCCCCTACTCGTGCGCAACCATCACAGAGAGGCATTAAATGATCATTCAAAAGGATGAGACATATTTATTGCTCGGCGAACTCCGAAAGGAGTGCATTAAATGCTTAGGGATCCAAGCATTAAATGCAGAGACTTCTTTTCGTGTGACAAGGAAAGCACTCTATCCTAGGATTGTGCTCCACAGGCTGCCTTCCAAAGGGGCCAATGAGGAGCTTCCTCTCTAAGGGACCCACCTATCCGCAATGATTACCTCCATGGAGATGTAAATAGCTCTCACATATGCAAGGCAAAGGTACGCAAATCTCACCCAAGCAATAGAACAGTGATTTTCCTTCTCCTCTCTCACATATTGACTTGATCGTCGGAGGGGTCTCGCCGAAAAACACTCTAATGCTCTTCTAACCTTTCTTTTTGAGTGGCAGAGTTTATCTCAATATGCTAGAATCGTTCGAACTATTGGAAAAGTAATTCATTGCCACTCCTTATACCGTTTTTCACTTCCATTTGCCACGGGATCATCGACTTTCCATGTAAGACTTATGTTTACCAAGTGAGAGATCTGTCCATTCATTTAGTGTGCGAAAATTACCGCGCACAATGAAGAACGACCCAAAGTGATGAATAGGTCTCACTCAAATTATGGCTTTCAAAATTGACCTAAAAATCAAATTATCGTCCAACACAAGTAAGTTCCCCTCAGTCTTATCCAAAAACCTCTCACCATTGAAACTAAGGATTTTAAGTTTGTCAGTTCATCTAATAAGATATTAAAGATAGACTATATAATATTTTTCTAATGAGGCTAGGTCAGGGGTGGAGCCAGACCATTTCTTTGGTGGGGGCAACATAACTTTAAATATATTTTAAAAAAAAACTATCCTAGCTAATTCAAAAATCAATTCAATAGTTAGACCCTAACTCAATACCCATCATTGTGTTTTTAACAAATAAATTACAAGAAAACTATAAGTAACAAAATAAATGGAGAAATTTTAATAGCAGTAATTTAGAAAAATTAATTATATTACAACTCTATTAAGTCGAACTTAGATATAGGAACAATTTGAGCTATAATTATCAAATTCTTCAAGTCCAATTAATCAAAATAACTTAATCCAAAATATAATGCTTAACAACCAAATTATATATAGAGCAATCCAATTAAATATAAAAAATTCAAACTACAATTTGAATTCCAATATCTAAAAATAACAAAGAGGGGACTTACTACTTCTGAATCGTAATAACATAAACTTCAACCATATCTATAATTCACAAATAGATGACTACTGCACACCAAAACCATCGATAAGTTCATTCCGCAACCAAACTCCTTTATACCTTTACCACCGTCTAATATCCAAAGAAATCAACACTACAACTAATATTTCGAAGAGATCAAAAATCAATTGTTTGAATCGTCACTGTTCAGTTCAAATATAGATAATTGCAATTCTATCATCCACTGTTAGGTAAAAAATGAAATGGGTGAAAAAAAAACAAATGGGTAGAAGCCCTTATCGTCGTGCCAAAAAATACAAAAATTTTAAAAATCTAAGAAATTGTGTATGAGTTACCTCTTGCATGATAACTCTCATAGAATTTTCTAAACTCTCAGCAATTTTCACAATCGACTAGTTAAATAATGGTCAAATCGATAACAAAAAAGGGACAATTGAAGACAAGGAAAACATAAAAAGAGAACAAAGGTACACTAAAGAGAGCAAAACTCAATTAAAGAGA